GTTGGGTTGGGGTTGGGTTGGGGTTGGGTTTGGAGTTGGGTTGGGGTTGGGTTGGGTTTGGGGTTCCGTTGGGGTTAGGGTTGGGTTGGGGTTAAGGTTGGCTGGGTTTGGGTTTGGAGTTGGGTTTAGGGTTGGTTAGGTTTGGGTGAGGGGTTGGGGTTAAGGTTGGGTTAAGATTGGTTGGGTTGGGTTTAGGTTAGGGTTAAGAGTGGTTAGAGTTAAGAGCTGGGTTGGGTTTAGGGTTGGTTAGGGTTTGGGTTAGGTTTGGGTTGGGGTTAGGGTTGGTTGGCTTTTGGTTAGGGTTAGGGTTAGGGTTTAGGTTGGGTTTTGGTTAGGTTTAGGGTTTGGGTTGGGTTTTTGGTTAGGGTTAGGGTTAGGGTTAGGGTTAGGGTTAGGGTTAGGGTTAGGGTTAGGGTTTAGGTTGGGTTTTGGTTAGGGTTAGGTTTAGGGTTTGGGTTGGGTTTTGGTTAGGGTTTTGGTTAGGATTTAAGGTTGGGTTTTGGTTAGGGTTAGGATTAGGGTTAGGGTTTAGGTTGGGTTTTGGTTAGGGTTAGGCTCAGCTCTGGGCCTGCTCCTTTCCTGCCTCTCCCTGCTCACCCTTCCCTGTCCTGCTCTTTCCCTGCTCCCCTTGGACCTCTGTGTCCCTTCCTGTCCCTGCCTGGTCCTTTCCTGTCCCCTGTGTCCCTGATTGTCCCTGACTGTCCCTGCCTGTCCCTGATTGTCCCTGCCTGTCCCCGATTGTCCCTTTCCCTGCCTGTCCCTGTGCCCCAGCCCAGCCCAGCCCAGTCTGGCACTCCCAGACGCTGGCAGACACTGCCTGTCCCTGATTGTCCCTGCCTGTCCCTGCCTGTCCCTGTGTCCCTGCCTGTCCCTGCCTGTCCCTGTCCCTGCCTGTCCCCGATTGTCCCTGTCCCTGCCTGTCCCTGTGCCCCAGCCCAGCCCAGCCCAGCCCAGCCCAGCCCAGTCTGGCACTCCCAGACGCTGGCAGACACTGCCTGGCCCTGCCTGTGTCTCTGACGTGTCCCTGCCAGTCCCTGCCTGTCCCTGCCTGTCCCTTCCCTGCCCGTCCAGACCTTCCCTGTCCTGCCTGTCCAGCCTGTTCAGCTGGGCTCCATCTCATCCATCCCATCCCACCTTGTCCTGCCTGTCCCTCTTTGTCCTGCCTGTCCCTGCCTGTCCCTGCCTGTCCCACTTTATCCTGCCCATCCCAGCACTTCCAGACCCCGTCCGGTGCTTCCCTGCCCTTCCCAACCTTCTCTCTCCCTCTCTGTCCCTCTTTGTCCCTGCCTGTCCCTTCCTGCCCTGCCACATCCTGCCTGTCCAGCCTGTTCAGCTGGGCTCCATCCCATCCCATCCCATCCCATCCCATCCCATCCCATCCCATCCCATCCCATCCCATCCCATCCCATCCCATCCCATCCCATCCCATNCCATCCCATCCCATCCCATCCCATCCCATCCCATCCCATCCCATCCCATCCCACCATCCCATCCCATCCCATCCCATCCCATCCCATCCCATCCCATCCCATCCCATTTAGTCCCTGTCTGGTCCTTCCCTGCCTGTTCTGCCTGTCCCTGCCTGTCCTGCCTGTCCCACTTTATCCTGCCCATCCCAGCATTTCCAGACCCTGTCTGGTCCTTCCCTGCCTGTCCCTCTTTGTTCTGCCTGTCCCTGCCTGTCCCTTTTTGTCCCTGCCTGTCCCACTTTATCCTGCCCATCCCAGCACTTCCAGACCCTGTCTGGTCCTTCCCTGCCCTTCCAGACCTTCCCTGCCCATCCCAACATTCCCGGTCTTCCCTGTCCTGCCTGTCCCTCTTTGTCCCTGCCTGTCCCTTCCTGTCCCTGTCCTGCCCAGCACTTCCAGACCCTGTCTGGTCCTTCCTTGCCCTTGCCAACCTTCCCTGTCCCGCCTGTCCCGCGTGTCCCTCCCTGTCCTGCGTGTCCCTCCCTGTCCCGCCTGTCCCGCGTGTCCCTCCCTGTCCCGCGTGTCCCTCCCTGTCCCTCTCTGTCCCCCTCTGTCCCTTTGTCCCCACCTGTCCTGCGTGTCCCTCTCTGTCCCTGTCTGTCCCTGTCTGTCCCTGTCTGTCCCTCTGTCCCCCCCGCGCCCCCCGGCCCTCACCACGTTCTCGGGGCCGGGTCTCTCGGGCGTGATCTGGATCCACTCGATGCCCACGCCCTGCGGCCCCACGTCCTCGGGCTCCAGCACGTAGGGACAGCCCAGCTTGACCGAGTCGCCCTTGGCCAGGTACAGGACCTCGCGGCCCTGGTGGCCATTGATCCTGACGGCCACCAGGAGAGCTGGGGGAGAGGGGCATTGTCACCTCCGAGATGGCATTGTCACCCCCGAGATGGCACTGCCACCCCCAAAATGACATTATCACTCACTGAAATGGCATTGTCACCCCCCAGAATAGCATTGTCACCTCCGAGATGGCATTGTCACCCCTTCAAATGGCACTGTCACACTCTGAAATGGAACTGCCACCCCCCTAAATTACATTATCGCACCTTGAAATGGCATTGTCACCCCCTAAAATGTCACCATCACCCCCCGAAATGGCATCGTCACCCCCCGAAATGGCACTGTCACCCCCCAAAATGGCATTTTCACACCTTGAAATGGCATTGTCACCCCGCGAAATGGCATTGTCACCCCCCCAAAACGTCACTGTCACCCCCCGAAACGGCACTCAGGGCTCTCCACAGCCCCACACCCGCGGCACAGGGTGGGGCACAGGGACCCCAAATCCGTGCCCCGACACCCCTGACCCCACACCTGCAGCCCCCAAAACCCCAAACCTGGCAGCCCCAAAACCCCAAACCTGGCAGCCCCAAAACCCCACACCTGCAGCCCCCAAACCGGGGTCAGGGGGCGCCACCAGGAGTGGGGAGCAGGGCCAGGCCAGGGGGACCCATCGCCCCCCAAAGCCGTGCCCCGACACCCCCTGACCCCACACCTGGCGGTGCCTCACCAGTGGGGCGCAGGGAACCAGCGTACCCCAAACCTGTGCCCTGGCACACCTTGAACCCCACACCTGGCAGAACCCAAAATCTGGGGTGCAGGGGCAGGTGTGCTACACCCATGGCACCCCAAAGCTGTGCCCCGAGACCCCTGACCCCACACCTGCAGCACAAGAACCCCACACCTGTTCCCTGACACACCTGCGGCCCCCAAAACCCCACACCTGCATCCCCAAAACCCCCACACCTGCCGCCCCAAAAACCCCACACCTGCAGCCCCCAAAACCCCACACCTGCATCCCCCGACCCGACACCTGGATCCCCCAAAACCCCACACCTGCAGCTCCTGACCCCACACTTGGCAGCCCCAGAACTCCAAACCTGGATCCCCAAAACCCCCAAACCTGGCAGCCCCAAAAACCCCACACCTGGATCCTCAAAAAACCACACCTGGATCCCCAAAACCCCACACCTGGATCCCCCAAAACCCCACACCTGCAGCCCCAAAACACCACACCTGGATCTCCCCAAACCCCACAGCTGGATCTCCAAAACCCCACACCTGGCAGCCCCAAAACCCCACACCTGCCGCCCCAAAACCCCACACCTGGATCCCCAAAACCCCACACCTGCAGCCCCAAAACCCCACGCGTGCATCCCCCCGCCGCGGGTCGCATCTCCCGCCCCGTGCGCCCGCGGGGATGTCCCGGGTGGGTCGCGGTGCCCTGGGTGCTGTCACCCCCTGGCTGCTGTCACCCCTGGGTGCTGTCACCCCCTGGCTGCTGTCACCCCCTGGCAGCCCCGGCGACACCCGCGGGGCTCGGTGCCAGCCGCCGTGCCCACGGGAGCCGCGGGCGTGCCCGGGGGCGCGTCCCGCGCTCCGGCGCGGGGCTCGGAGCATCCGCGGCAGCCGCGATCGTACCTGGCAGAAGCCCGAGCAGCAGGAGCAGGCTGGCACCGTGCCCTGCCATGGCCGCGGACGAGCAGGAGGAGGAGGAGGAGGAGGAGGAGGAGGAGGAGGCAGGAAGGCTCCGAGGGCAGCCGGCCCGTGCCGGGCCCCTTTTAGGCGCTGGGCCGGGGCCGCTCCTCCCCGTGGGGAGGATTCCTGCGGGATGAGTGAGTGGCTCCGAGCTGTGCGTGGCTGCCGCCCTGCTCCGCTCCTACCCCCTAATTAGGCAGCGCCCGGCCCGCCGGACCCCGGCCGGACACCGGGGGACACCGGGGGACACCGGGGGACACCCCGAGAGCGGGGCACGCGATGGGGACAGCGGGACAAAGGCAGCGGGGCCGGAGGTGGCCCCGAGGGTCCCGCAGGGTTCTGGGTTTGGAGGTGCGGTTGGAGCGGGGGTTTAAAGGTGGTGGGTCCCTCCTGCGGGCCGAGCTGGCAGCGGGGGCACCCACCGGGCACCCACCGAGCACCCACCGGGCCCGGGGCACTGCGAGGGGACGTGGTGGGGTGGCAGGGACAGGGACATGGCAGGGACAGGGACAGGGATGTGGCAGGGATGAGCAGCTGGGACAGGATGGATGGAGGAGCTGGGATGGTGACACATGGCAGGGATGGAAGATTTGGGGACAGGGACAATGTCACTGGATGGAAGAGATGGGGACAAGGATGTGGCAGGGATGGAGGAGCTGGGACAGGAATGGATGGAGAAGTTGGGACAGGGACATGGCACCGGATGGAACCTTTGGGGACAGGGATGGAGGAGTTGGGACAGTGACACATGGCACCAGATGGAAGTGTTGGGGACAGGGACATGGCAGTGGATGGAACCCTTGGGGACAGGGATGGACAAGCTGGGACAGGGACATGTGCCAGTGGGTGACACCAGGGGGGCTCAGCCCCGTGGGAAGACCCTGAGGATGCCACGGGCCTGTCCCTGCCCGTGTCCCTTGAGGGACACAGGAGACATGGACACTGTGACCATGGGGACACGGACACTATGACCATGGGGACACAGGGACATGGACACCGTGACCATGGGGACATGGAGACACAGACACCATGACCATGGGGACATGGACACCATGACCTTGGGCACATGGGGACACAAGGACATGGAGACACGGACACCTTGACCATGGGGACATTGACACCATGACCATGGGGACATGGGGACATGGAGACATGGACACCATGACCATGGGGACACAGGGATATGGACACCATGCAGATGAGGATATGGGAACATGGACACATGGTCACCATGACCGTGGGGACATGAGGACACAGGGACACGGTCACACCCAGATGCTGTCACCCATGTGCCCCTGGGGTGCCCACGCCCACCTGGAATGGCTGTCCCTGTCCTGGGGTGGCCATGACCCCACCCCGGGCTGTGTCCCCCCCACGGGACAGTGACCTTGCCCCAGTGTGTGACCCCCTCTCTGTGCCACGTCCCCCTCAGTGCCATGTCCCCATTCCATGCCACGTCCCCCTCAGTGTCACGTCCCCCCTCAGTGCCATGTCCCCACTCTGTGCCATGTCCCCCCTCAGTGCCACGTCCCCCCTCAGTGCCATGTCCCCACTCTGTGCCATGTCCCCATTCCATGCCATATCCCCCCTCAGTCCCATGTCCCCCCTC